CTCCCCGGCCCGGAAGTCCCAGTCGGCAACGTCGTCGATCACCGCCTGATCGTGATAATACCTGCAGGGCGACAGGAACGAGATGATCCCAACGTCGTGGCGGGCACGGGCGCTCACGAGAAGATGGGCGGGAGCGGTCTGGCAAGCCTGGCAGACGCCGTGGGGCAGGGACAGAGGTCCTGGTGCTCGTGGCACAGCTGTCACGAGCACCACCGCGTTCTGGCGGGCCAGAGGATTTCGTTGCGACGGCGGCCCCTGGTGCAGTCATTGCACCACCTCTGCTGTTCGCAACATCCGCCGCGGCCCTGGCTAAACAGCAAATGCAGCCTCTGGGCAACACTCGAGACAAGCTGCTGCGTTTAAGTTCTGGTTGCATTTATGATGACGATCGACGACGACGCATAGGCACGCGCTGCAAGACGAAAAATGGGCAGAGCCGACCGCGCGCCACACTCTCCGATCGGAAGATGGAATGGCCTGTGCTGCCGTCGTCTGCTTCGGTGTGATTGATGGTCAGAATTCTCGGACGGCAGATCGGCTAAAAGAGGACGCGCTTTGGAGTCCGCAGCACGCGCACGGAGATCCGTCGGACGCGCAGGCGCCGACCCGGCGAGTGTTTGCAAAGATTCGCCAGCAATTTTTGCATGACGTACCTTGTCTTGTCGGCCCTGACGTCGCACGAGGACATGACAGACGCGCACTCGCCGGAGACTGCGGCTAATCGTGAGGGCCGCCCCCCTTGCTGTGTCTGATTGGTTTCACTTCGCACATCTGCGTGATCAAGGTGCAGACGTCGAATGTTGCATCCAAGTGTTTTTGTTGGCGCCCCTTCTCTCGTCCCTCCTCCCCCCTCTCGGAGGCACGATGCTGACTCTCCTGTGCACATGCATAGTTACTCAGCCCAGTGGGTGGTAGCTGCGCCCGTGGTTTTCGGGCCAACCCCGTCGTTTGACGGGGCGACTGTAAGTCTGTCTGTCCGTCCCTGTCTGCCCTCCCCACCTCCTCCCCTCCTCCGCTGACTGCCCCTTCGTTTTCCCCCCAACTCCCCCCCGGCTCCTCCCTCTCGCCGTCTCTCCATCCATCTCCTCCACCGCCCCCTTCCACCCTCAGGATCGACCCTTTGGCATGAACCTCCCATGGAGCGCGCTCTGACCAGGATTCCGGGCAAATCCAGCCGTTGCGGCGAGAGCCCCTGAAGGCCCAGACAGACCCCATTGCTCGACGTCCTCCTCCTGCAGAGGAACAAAAAGTGGCATGAACATAAACTTCCAGATGTCCGCCCCACCATCACCAGTCCTCCTCCTGCTACTGGAGTTACTGGAGGCCCGCTAACTGGGGCCGGAGCAGATGGGATCGGAGGATCGCACCGCATCACCGATGCATCGACAATGCATCTGCGACGCCAGGATGGACAAAACAGGACTCTGGCGCGCGCCGAATTGCCGATGGCGTCGGCGATGTAGCGCGATCCTCCGACCCCGCCAGTCCTCGAACTGCGGAGGTCCCGGATGCTCTCTGGGCAGAGTTTCGGCGAGAATTTCGGCCGTGGCGACGAGAAGCTCAGGACGAGCAGCAGAATCGGTATATCCTTTCCCCCTCCGAGAAATGACCCCTCCCCATCGAGCAGGCCAGGTGCGAGGCGCCGACGTCGACCCCGCCACGACCCTGCGTGTAAATCGGCAGGCATCGAGGTCGGCGCGGGCGGCGCGGGCGGTACTCGGGGGTGTTGATCCTGCCGCGGTTGCCCCGGGCGCTGCTGAGTCAAAGACATAGAAGAGGAGAAGAGGAGAGAGGACGAGGACAACCTGCTCCTCCTCCTCCTCCTCCTCCTCCTCCTCCTCCTCCTCCTCCTCCTCCTCCTCCTCCTCCTCCCTCCTCCTCTCCTCCTCCTCCTCCTCCTCCTCCTCCTCCTCCTCCTCCTCCTCCTCCTCCTCCTCCTCCTCCTCCTCCTCCCCCCCCGGGTCAGATACGACGCTCCCCCCCCGTACCGACCTTGAGCAACGTCGTAATTCACTCGAAGGGAAGCCCCTTCCCTTTGATCCCTCCCCCGCCGGGAGGGGGGGGGGGGGTAGCGACCCCCCCCCCCGGGTCAGATACGACGCCCCCCCCCCGACCTTGAGCAACGTCGTAGTCGAAGGGAAGCCCCTTCCCTTTGATCCCTCCCCGCCGGGAGGGGGGGGGGGTCGACCCCCCCCCCGGGTCAGATACGACGCCCCCCCCCCCGTACCGACCTTGAGCAACGTCGTAATTCAGTCGAAGGGAAGCCCCTTCCCTTTGATCCCTCCCCCGCCGGGAGGGGGGGGGGGTAGCGACCCCCCCCCCGGGTCAGATACGACGCCCCCCCCCGTACCGACCTTGAGCAACGTCGTAATTGAGTCGAAGGGAAGCCCCTTCCCTTTCCCTTCCCCGACGGGGGGGGGAGGGGGGGTCCCGGGGGGGGTCCCAGGGGAGTCCCGGGGAAGTCCCGGGTCAGATACGACACCTCCCTCCCCCACCTTCTCGTCCTTCTCCCCGTTCCCCAAAACCATCCCACAGCCCGTGCCTCTTGCTGCGCATTGCGAACAGGGTCGGCGGCACCGGCCGTAAGGCCTTCGCAATCATCAACAAAACCATCACCGTCGTCATCACCATCACCATCGTCACCACCAGCACCAGCATCATCATCACCATCACCATCATCATCATCATCATCATCATCATCATCATCATCATCATCATCATCATCATCATCATCATCATCATCATCATCATCATCATCATCATCATCATCATCATCATCATCGTCATCGTCATCATCGTCATCGTCATCGTCATCGTCATCATCACTACCATCATCATCATCATACGCGTCATCATCATCATCATCATCATCATCATCATCATCATCATCATCATCATCATCATCATCATCATCATCATTCCTCCATGTTAGTTGCTCACCAAACAGTGTTTGCACCTCGGGGCTCTTATTCCTATTACAAAAAACTAAGCTGGTGTGGCGGTCTGGCGGTTATGTCGTCGCCGTCGCCGCCCCGTCGCCGTGTCGTCGCCGCCCATCGTTTGGGTCGGTGTGGCGGTCTGGCCACTATGTTGTCGCCGTCGCCGCCCCGTCGCCGCTTCGTCGCGGCCCGTCGTTTGGGTCGGTGTGGCGGTCTCGTGGCTATGTTGTCGCCATCGCCGCCCCGTCGCCGCGTCGTCACCGCTCCAGATTGCACAACATTGATGTTCCTTCTTCATGGGTATTAGGATCTACCCCACCCCCATGGGGGCAAGGAACAAACTTTTGGTACCGCAATTTACATACCATTCTGCCCCATCGCCCATCCGATATATGAACTCATACCATGCCAATCAGGCCGCTATCGGTTCCCCCTTCATCCTCTGCCAATAACTATGCGCGTACACTCGTTTGTCCAAAATCAAAAGTGTTCAACAATCCCTTGCAGCCCAAAAATCAAACGAAGTGCACACGCACGCGTGCGTCGTCACGCGCGCATGCCAAGATCTTTCAAAACATCAGGTGTCGCACGGATCTCAAATGAATAAAGCACATGGTTTCGCAACAAGAATATTCAACGAAAAAACAACAACAAAAAGATTGCGTTCGGAATCTTGCGGATCCTGAAAGCAACTATAGTGTTGTCAACCATCTCGTAAAATTATACCAAATGGGCCTCTCGCGCGCGCATGTCGAAATCGTTCGAACGCCCTTTTGCACTCGTGCTGTCGCAAGAACACCTCGCACAAAATGGGACGAAGTGCACGTGCGCGTCGTCGCGCGCGCATGCATCTATTCTTCAAAAACCTTCGGTGTCGTGGGGGCTTCAAAACCGAGTGCCCCGGAAAAAACGGTTTTGCAAAACCAGTTTTCAAACAAAAAACCTGTGCTCACGCTCTCGCGAATTCTCATGGCAAAACCATAGGTATCACCATTGTCATTACACGCGGTCAAACGGGCCTTTCGCGCCGCATGTCGACATCAATCGAACGCCCATGCATGCATGTTGGGTGACACGATCCTTGTTAAATAATTCCATGCGGGCCACGCTCGCGCGTCGGCCGCGCGCGCATCGCACTCCTTACAACACCTTCGTCACCGACGCGTGGACACCGTCATCGCCGTCGGCGTGATCAGCATCGGCGGCGTCACTGGCCGTTCTGTCGCCGTTGTCATCGTCCTCACCAGCGTTTGGGGCTCATTGGAATGGTCTGGGAGGCCTCCTGGCCCTCACGGCTCGAAAAGAGGGAGGGGGGGATTCCGGTCCCCCCCTTCGGAGACTCAGAAATGGCGGATCTTGCCCTCTGGGGCGGCGACGTGGCGGTCTTAAAGCGGTACGCAGAGGAACGCTTGACCTGCAGAGTGGCACTGGCGGCACGCAAGGGGGGCCGAGCGCGGAAGAGCGGCGCCGGGTCGGCCGACCGCGCGGAGCGGAACCGAGGGGGCACAAAAGACACGAGCATACCTGAAGGGGCCCTGGGACACACAAATAAATACACACAAATCAAAATACGCCCCACATTTTCCAATATTTTCCGGGTTTTTGTCTTCCCCCCCACTTCCCATATTTTCCCATATTTTCTGGGGAATCGCCGATTAATTGTGTCTGTGTGTTCCTTTCCCTCCTGAATACCGCCCACAGCCTTTCCTGCCGGTGGTGGCCTGGTAGAAGCTGCCGGAGAGAGGGGGCGAGGGGCGGGAGAGGGCAGGGCAGCAGGGGAGGGGGCAGGCGAGGGGAGAGGGGGCAGGCGAGGGGAGAGGGGGCAGGCGAGGGGAGAGGGGGACAGAGGCAAGCTGGGTGCGCTCGCGTCATGTCTGACATCCTACCCCTCCCTCCCATCCCTTACCATGGCGTAGATCCCCTCTCTACTCGCACGGTCGGATGTCGAGCAGGGCAATGATCCCGAAAGGGTACGCGATGCATTGTAGAGCACGGCATGGCATGGCGTAGACGAGCACCGCAAAGCGTAGTATGTCACAGCATGGCGTGGCGTGGCGTAGTGAAGAATTCAGTCACAAAGCTTTGCAACGCAAAGCATGGCATCGCACAGCGGCCCCGAACATAACATTGCATAGCATGGCGTTGAAGATCAAAGCGTAGCATTACATAGCATGACGTGGCACTTAAGCACTGGATATGACAGCTGCAGCTGAAGGCATGGCATCGCGCAGCAGAACGCAACCTAGCATTGCATTGCATGCCGTGGCATGGCACGGGAAATGACGCCAGCGCTACAGCGGGAGCACGATTCGGAACGAGCGGAAGCGCGAGGCCAGCGCTGCAGCGGGAGCACGATTCGGAACGAGCGGAAGCACGGAAATCAGGCCAGCACTGCAGCGGGAGCACGATTCGGAACGAACGGAAGCCCGAAAATGAAGCCCGCGCCTCAGCGAGAGCAGCATTTTGAAAAAAACAAGCGAAAACCCAACTCCGGGCAATCCTGTTTGTTAAAAACAATACGCGGAGGGGTGCCCCATATCTTCCGCACGCCATCAGGGGATGGAGGAGAGTAGTACTCATAGTGTGTAATTGTGCAGGCGAGGGGCAGAGGACAGGGGAGAGAGGGGGGGGGCAGGCGAGGGGACCGTAGATGGACAAAAAAGTGGAGCCCTTGACACCACGCCCCCTCCTCCCCCCAATTTCAAAGTTGGACTCAAGCATTTGGCAGCACACGCGCGAGAGGACAAAAAAAGTGGAACCCCCAGGGCCTCCGAGAGGCCGAACCCAACTTTGAAATTGTGAAATTGGGGGGAGGGGGGGGGGGGGGGGGCGAATGCGGGGCCGAAGACGAAGGGGGTTCATTTTTTTCGTCCCCTTACCGGAGAGGGGAGAGGCAGGGCGAGGCACGGCGAGGGCGACGGGGGGGGGTCAGGGGCCGCCGCGGGGGGGGGGGGGCGCGCGCGGGGGGCGGGGGGGGGCGGCCTGCTCCTGCGCCCCCGCTGCGTGAAGGACTCCACGGAGATCGCGGAGTTCCTCCCGCGGGACACCACCGAGGACCTCGGGGTGGCTCCCACCCCAGAGCCTCGCCTGGCGGCCGCGGGGGCTCTCGCGGGGCGGGGGGGGGGGCTCCGGCGGAGGAGGGCGCGCGGCCCGCTCGGGGGGGGCGGAGGGGGCGGGCGAGGACTGCCCGTGGGCGGGGGGCGGCGGGCGGGGCCAGGCCCGAAGAGAGGGGGGCGGGCGGCGGGGGCCGCCCGCGGCGGGAGGGGGGCGAGGGCAGGGCTCGCCCGCCGCACGGGGGCGGCGAGCTGCGCACGCCTCTGCGCGGTGGTGCGATGAGGGCGCGGGGCGGAGGCAGGGCGGCGAGCGTCTCTTCGATCGGAAGGAGGGGCGGCGGGTGCAGCTCGCCTGGGCAACAGCTGGTGGCGCAGAAGTGCCCACAGCCTCCTCCTCCTCCTCCTCCTCCTCCTCCTCCTCCTCCTCCTCCTGCTCCTGCTCCTCCTCCTCATCCTGCTCCTCCTCCTCCTCCTCCTCCTCCTCCTCCTCCTCCTCCTCCTGCTCCTCCTTCTCATCACCACCAACACCATCGTAAGCATCGCCACCGTCATCACCAGTTGCCATCATGATAATCATGCTCCTTCTCGCATTCATTCTCAACTCTGGCCAAACGTCGGCTGGGTGGGCAAATCGAGACGCCCGCACGGCCGTCCTGGAGCTTCACAATGGGCCCTGGCATCCCAGAGGCGAGTTTCCAAGACGGCGGGACGCGCCAGCAACGGAGGCCAAGCCAGGCCCAAAGCCGCGCAAATTCTGAGGATCTCCCTGGCCGAACCAGCCACACCAGACTCTACCCTAACTGACTGGCAGTGGCCTTGCACCCCTCGTGGACGCACACGAAAAGTGCAGCATGCGTGTGCAATAGCAAGTGTAGCTATGTCACGTCATAAGCGGAGGCTGCCCTCTGATGTCTGAGGCGCCCCCGGTGTCTGCGGCTTGCCCGGCCCTGACCACCCTCCTTCACGTGTAGAAGCTCGAACAAACGGAGTGCAGAACCCAGGCGCTGATCTCGCCCCCAACGCACGCCAACTCAGAATGTCAGGAGGAGCGTCCAGACCCGCGCGTCAACCAGTGCGGAACATGATGGATTCAACTGCATTTCATCGTCGTTGGGCTCTTGTGGGGCCTTCGTACGCCCCTGGGGGATGAACGTCCGACGCTGTGCAATGGCGTGGCGCGAAGTATTCGTAAGCAGGTAGCTGAACAGAGCCACGTGACCGGGGAGGAAGCTGCGGGCGAAAAAGAGACGGGGAGGACGATCAGGAGCAGGCGGTATGAGGGGACAGAGGCAGGCGACTGGGAAGGGCAAGAGACAGGGGGGGGGAAACGAAGCGAGGGCGAGGGAGGACGCGGAGGGAGATGCAGAGGGGAAGAGGCTGAGGTTGAAGGCGGAAGGAGGACGGGAAGAGGGGGAGGGCACGGACATCTGTCGAAGCAAGCAAGCATCTCACACTCCTCCTGTATCCTGTATCTGTATCCGGTCGGCAATGGTGTTCCCCGAACGCTGTCACTCCTCCTTCTCCTCATCTTCCTCCTCCTCCTCCTCTTCATCCTCCTTCCTCGTCCTGCTCCACTTCCTGACTCTTAGCTTCACCTCAGTGCCCCGAGGTACGAAGTAGCGTGTCATCAGGTCCATCAGAGCTCTCTGCATGTAAAGCTTTAAGCACTCTGTCGGGGTGCACGACCCCACATTCGAGCACCCAGAGCGGACCCAGAGGCCCCCAAGATCGTTCCAAAATAGTGTCCGAGCCCCGAGTAAGGGCTGAGACGGACACCAAGACATCCCTAAGAGGGGCCCACGAGAAGAAGCTTGAACTGACATGCAGAGCCCTCCACTCAAGGATGGCCCCCGAGAGCGCCAGCGGGCTCTTAAACATTAACCTGGCGAAGGACCCAGCTATATGCAGTTTGAATACCGTCGTTGTATGCACCACATTTGGAGGAGCTCCCTATAGGGCCACGAAACGTGTGAGGGATGTGCCAAAATCCCACCAGCCCTTTGGGCGTAGGTGGTCTAGAGCGTTTCCTCTGTTACCCCTCCTACTTCCCCTTCGGGGAGGGGTTTATCACTGTTCCCTATTAGTATACACCCCCTCCCCCAGGCGACTGGGAGACAAGCCAGGCACATGCGCCCCCCCCCACCATCCCTTTTGTATAAGTAAAAATGATGATAATAATAAGAATAACAACAACAACAACAACAATAATAATAATAATACTCATAATAATACTAATAATAATGATAATAATAATAATAATAATAATGATAATAATAATAATGATAATAATAATAATCATCATCATAATCATAATAATAATAATGTAAATAAATAGAAAATGAAAAATATCCCCTCCCAAAAAAACACTCTGCCCCCAACATGCCTTGTAAAAAATACAAAACACACTCTGTCTCCAAATTCGGAGCATGCGCAGCGAACCCGATGCGGCCTCCCCCCACCATCCCTGTCAAAAAAAAATACAGAGTACACTTGGCCGCTGCGGCGGCGGCGGCGGCGGGGGCGGCGGCGGCGGCGGCGGGGGCGGCGGGGGCGGCGGCGACGGCGGCGGTGGCGGCGGCGGCGGCGGCGGCGGTGGCGGCAGCGACTGCGGCGGCAGCGGCTGCGGCGGCGGCGATTTGGCAGCGGGGGCGGCGACGGCGCGGCGGCGGCGGCGGGCAGCGCGGTGGCGGCGGCAGCGGCGGACAGCGGCGGCGGCGGCGGCGGCCCGGCGCCGGCGCAGCGGCGGGCGGCGGCGGCGGCGGGGTCGGAGCCGGCGGCGGCGGCGGCGGATTGGCCCCCAGTAGCTGGCCATCCAAAGACGACTGCTGCATATGCTGCGGCTCGGGCCAGGCACGGGTGCTGCGTATGTGTTGGGAGGGCGGGTGGGAGTGAGCAAGACGGCTTGCGGGCGGGGAGGGAGACTCTTGACCCCTCCCCCTACCCCCTCCCCTGGACCTGGACGGGGGGGTTCGCGACGCGTTGGAGCGTCCGAAACGGCCTCGGCAAGGAAGCCAAAATCATTGGTTTTACTAAGGTTTTGGCCCCATTTTGGCCTTCTGGGAGGGCGACCCTAATTGTGGAACCCCCCTTCTTTGATCGATCCCCTCCCAAATTCCCCCAATAGCGCTCCTAAGGCTCCCAAGGGTGCCCCAAGAGGGCCCCAAGAGGTGGCCAGGAGGCCCCAAGAGGCCCCCAAGAGGCCCCCAGGATGCCCCCAAGAAGCTCCCAAGAGACCCCCAAGAGGCCCCAAGAGGCCCCCCAGAGGCACCCAAGACGCTCCAAGAGGCCTCGGCGAGAGTGCTAAAACCATTGAGTTTACGTAGGTTTGGGCAACATGTTGGCCTCCTGGGTGGGGGGGGGCACTGATTAAGATGACTCCAAGAGCGCCTGGGAGAGCCCAAGATGACCTCCAAGGTGGCTCAAGATATCCAAAGATGCCTCAGGAGGGCTCTCACGATGCTCCAAAAGGCACCAAAACCGCTCCAAGACGGCTCCAAGTGGCCAAAGAGCTCCCCCGGGAGGCCCCGAAGAGGCCAAAATCATTCCAAAACCTTGGGAAAATCAATCCAAGAGCGCCCAGGAGGCCCCAGGAGGCCCCAATTGGCGCCCAAGAGGCCTCCAAGAGGCTCCCAACAGACCCCCGAGAGGCCCCAAGAAGCAATCGAGGCACCCAAGACGCTCTAAGAGGCGTCCGGGACCGCCAAGAGGACCCCAAGACGCTCCAAGAGGCCCCCACTGGGGGACCCTTCCTCTGTGTGCTGCCCACTTCCCTGATCGAGGCAATTCCTCTGGGCATCGTTTCTGGATGGGCTGGTGGGGTCACGCGAAGCGGCTGGAATTTGTCTGGTGGGCGCATGCGAAAGCAGCCACTGGGGCCGGCGGCGGAGCTCCCCATGGGGCCACGAAACGCGTGAGAGGTGTAAGTACCGAAATAGGTGCGGTGGGCGCATGCGAACGCAGCCATTGGGGCCGTCGATGGAGCTCCTATGGGGCCACGAAACGTGTGATTGGTGTGCCGAAATGAATGCGGTGGGCGCATGGGAACGCAGCCACTGGCGCCTTCGGTGGAACTCCCTATGGGGCAACGAACCGTGTGAGGAGTGTGCCGAAATGGGTGTGCGTGACGCATGCGGGCGGTGGCACTGGGGCCTTCGTTGGAACTCCCTATGGGGAAACGTGTAAGGGGTGAACCGAGATGGTTCTGGGTGACGCATGCGGGCGGTGGCACTGAGGCCTCTGGTGGAGTTCCCTATGGGGCCACGAAACGTGTGAAGGTGTGCCGAAATGGGTGTGGGTGACGCATGCGGGCGGTGGCACTGGGGCCTTCGGTGGAGCTCCCTATGGGGCCACGAATTGTGTGAGGGGTGTGCCGAATTAAGTGTGGGTGACGCATGCGGGCGGTGGCACTGGGGTCTTCGGTGGAGATCACATGGGGCCACGGAACGTGTGCGGGGTGCGCCGAAATGGGTGTGGGTGACGCATGCGGGCGGTGGCACTGGAGCCTTCGGTGGAGCTCCCTATGGGGCCACGAAACGCGTGAGATGTGCGCCGAAATGGGTGTGCGTGACGCATGCGGGCGGTGGCACTGGGGCCTTCGTTGGAGCTCCCTATGGGGCCACGAAAGGTTTGAGGGGTGTGCCAGAATGGGTGTGCATGACGCATGCGTGCGGTGGCACTGGGGCCCTCTGTGGAGCTCCTTATGGGGCCACGAAACGTGCGGGCGGTGACACTGGGGCCTTCGGTGGAGCTCCCTATGGGACCACGAAACATGTGAGGGGTGTGCCGAAGTGGGCCTTGGGTGGAGCTCCCTGTGAGGCCACGAATTGTGTGAGGGGTGTGCCGAATTTGGCGTGGGTGACGCATGCGGGCGGAAGCACTGGGGCCTTCGGCGGAGCTTCCAGTGGGGCCACGAAACGTGTGATTTGTGTGCCGACATGGGTGTGCGTGACGCATGCGGGTGGTGGCACTGAGGCCTTCGGTGGAGCTGCCTATGGAGCCACGAAACGTGTGAAGGGTGTGCCGACATGGGTGTGC